CTTAATAAAACACTGACCTCCGGAGCTGCAAAAGCCCGGTCGAACATTCCCGACATGTCCAGGACCGAGCTAGTGTCCCAGCGGTCCACGTAACCGAATGACAAGGCTTTCGCTTCCCGAAACATTTCTCGCATCCACTCTTAGAAGTAGAGTCCTCTAGCTGAGATAATAAATGCAGTAAAAACGGTAAAGTTTTGTTTGGTATTTCTTTTTTGCTACTCTACAACTACTTATCCCAATGCGCAGTGGAAAAAGGAAGGAGGCCATCTCGTCGGGTGTAGTTCCCTCAACTCCTGCTAGTCCTCTCGGCCACCCCTGGATCCTATTGCTTTCGTTGTCTTTCATGGAGAAAGGGCGTCGTCTCGGCCTCCTTTATTCTAGTACTTAAATGTAACAAACAATTTTCTCTAGTATACTTAAACAATAAAAGGTGGACAACCGAAGGAGTGGTGCTGAAGAGAAAGTAGACGGATATAAACGCTGAAGACCTTAAGACTGGACTCTGGACACGTCCCAGTCGTTCAAAGGGGAAGAATATTCGAACGTGAAAGCAAAGGTGCGCGTCATATCCAAGACGGAGGATGTATCCCAATAGGTTAGATCTCGATTAAATATACAGGTCCGCATGAAGGTATTGCGTAAGCTCTTCACGTTGCGCACTTTCCTTAGACGAGGTACCAAAAACCCACCCCTTAGCACGTCGTCTGATCTTTTAGCTTGTTCACAGAAGCAACCAGCAGCTAAAAGATGCCGTATTAGATGAATATGGGTTGACGGTACCCATAAATTCCACTGCGATATGTCTTGATTAAAACAACGATTCCCGCACCACGTGCCCTCGAGGCTCGTTACAGAACTAACGTCCCATCCAGTGATGTCGATTTCGTTCCAATCTTCCCGCACGACGGTCGAAAGCGCGTACTGTTCTTGTGCATGACGTGGCGCCAGCTATGATTAGGAGCTGCAAGAGCGGTTGGCCTTTGAGTTGTATCTCGCATATTTATTATGATCAGATGATCTTGATCTATGACTTCCCTATTTACAACTTGAAAAACTACTCATGATGCTAGATTTCGCAGATACATAGAGGATAAGAAGTTGCCCGTCGAAGTCCCTGATCTTGCGTTCTTGAGGAGCACGTTCGCGTCGCAGGCCAAAACAGACACACTCACGCTCAACACTCGTAGTACGGGTCGATAACAAGGCAAAAGACGAAGGAGAGTAAGAATAAATAGAGTAAGAATATTAAATATAAAACACTAAGTATTTTTTTCCGAAAGTACCCAGAAGATGCTAGAGCCCATGGCGTCCCACCCCCCGGATCGAGGCGCTAGATTTCGCACCAGATACACATCATGATAAATAATGGTCATACTAGAGCAGGGGTCTGGGACTCACTTCCAGCCCTTAACTGATGTCATCATGATCGATCCGAGGCCAAGAATCATCGTCAGCATCTTCGTTGTCAATAAAATAGCATGGATCTCGAAAGAGGTTCTTTAAGCCGTCCCCCATATCAGGGCCCATGGTCCATATGCGAATGGGCCCGTAGCGTCGCTCAATTGCTAGTCTCAGCGCATCCTGCAACTCCAATGATGACAGCTGCGACGGAATATTCTTTTGCTGGTTTTGCCCCTGACGATCATTATATTCTTTAGAAGAGCTTCAACTTGTTTCGCAGACTTCCTTGATGATTTTCGTAAGTCTAACTATACAAGCACAAGTAGAGCCACTTTCTCTTCAACTACTTCATGTTGATCATGGAAGTATACAGCAGATGCACTCTATTATAGAATAGAAACTGTCAAGGAAGTACTTATGCAGTTGCAGCAGATGCAGATGCACTCTATTATAGAATTAGAAAGTGTGGCGCGAACAATATTGAAGCTGCCTTAGTAAGATTCTTGTTCCCGGAACCGCCTCTTGTTGTACCAATACGAGACAAAGACAGGTGCTCATCAAGAAGAGACTGATGAAGTGGGAACTGTTCTGAATACCGCTGAAAGTACTCAGAAAAGGTCAAGCCGGGGTCGTTCCAACGCGGGAGCAAAGTGTCCGAGCCATAGTAGATCGGATTGGGGATAAAGGGTAGCAGAGCGTGCCGCAGTTCCAGCCCAGTCGCGATCGGTTCCCACGCCCGAACGAGGTATGTTATGTTGCAGTGGAGGATGCTCTGGTGGTCGTCCTCATCCAGCACAACCTCTACCTCATCGTCGTGCGAAGTCACATCTTCATTCTTTTTCTGTAGTTCTTTATTGTTGTTACGCTGTTGCTCACCTACAGCATTTTCTTTCTGCTTATCGTCCTTATCGTTGAGCTTTAATTTTGATTTTCTCTTCTTCTCCGCCCACTCTTTCTTGACCAAATCCACGAAATTTTCCGGCGGCAGCTTAGTAGTTAAGTGAGGACATCGAGCGCAGGCGATTGGCTGCAATTCAA